TATAATATATAAGCAATTTATGGAAACCCTGCATTGCAACATACTCACAACATATCTTTCTTTTGGGTACTATTTACTCACTTTGCTTAGATTTCTGCTTATGTTTGCTAGGGAAACAAAAGAGGATTCTTAGAGGTGTAAATGCTAAAAGCTAAGGTCATTTATTTTAGAGTCCCTAATTGCCTCAGACAGTCTCTATATGATATGTGAGTATGTATTAACTAGTTAACTTATCATCTGCATCCTTGAGAGAAAGCAGTCCCATCTTGGGCAAAAAGCAATCTGCAAGAGAAGATTTATAGAACTTTTACCCCTAAATTTTGCCTTCTTAACATTTTTATTATATGAAGCTTCAGAATTTCAGGTATAGGCATTTTTAAGTCTCGTTAATGAAATATTTTTTCAAATATATATAATTTTTGGTTGAAATGTAAATTATAGAGCCTTTCTTTAATATGTTCAAACATTTACGAATTTGCTTCTTAAAAAAAAATCAGGTGTGGTTATTTATTTTATACAACTACCCAGCGATCAGAGAGCTCTGGTGGCTTTGTGGTAAGGAATTGTGCTGTCAGTGCAAAAAGTCTGAAACTTGAATCCACGAGCTGCTCTGAAAGAAAAGGATGGGCATTCTCCATTCATGCAGTTTACTGTTTCTGAAAACCTGCTGGAGGGTCAGCCATGGATTGGTTCCGCCCCAGCAGTACTCAACAACAACTCGCCTACGCAGAACTGTACATTCGTTTCAGCTGTGTGGAATTAAGATTACAAGAAAAGGATTCTGAGCAGCAACTGGAATTTACCCCATTTCCTGGAGGTCACATAAAATAAAGGTTGGCTTTCGATCTCATGAAATCATAAAAGTGATAGAGATGATAACTGACAGTGGAAATCAGAAAAATTGTTTATATAAAGACATTTTTGCTTTATAGTACAATATGATTATACATATTAAGAAGGAAGCCAGTAATTGAAGAATTAATTTCCTTTCTACGGTGTTGTGTCTAGGAAAGGAAATCATATACATCACAAATGGCTAGACATTCATATTGGCTCTTAAGTAGTAAACACAAGTTACCTGGGAAATATATTTGTTTTAAATTCTTCATTCTTTCATAATATTTGATAAAGGAATAGCCATAGTGTAAAGAAAAAAAATATCAAAATGGCCCCATACAAACTAGAAAGCCATTCTCAAAGCTTTAGTATAATATCCTAGGTATAAGGAAGTTATCTAAAAGGTCAAGGTTAAAAGTGGACAAGTTGCTACTGACAGTAAGACAATCGCCTGCATTAGCCAAAGGCCTGCAGAGCAGCTGGACGGTCAGAGACACTGGTGCAGTACAGTTAGAGAGCAGTACCCAGAAACCCTACATTTTACAAAATTCTTCCCATTATTTTATTGGATTTAAAACTGAATCCAATTATTAACCTGTCAGATCCAACTTGGCGGTGCACAGAAAAAAGAAAACAAGGTTTTAAGAAAAAAAAGACAAAAAACTGAATCCAATTATTAAATATTACAAACTAGAAATAACAAATATAAACTTGATTTCATTATTATCCTGCACTTAAACAAAATACCATAATTTCTTTAAAATTATTTCTTAATCAGCAGAAATAAAGAGAAATCTCTTTGTTTTTTAATGTTCTTCATAACTATAGAACAGCACATATTAATTTAGTTCATCTTACAGTACATTAAAATAACAAAGGCATAACAAAATAACAGACTTTTGTCTTGGTAAAATGTTTAAATCCATATCCAAGTCTTGAAGAGATTTTCATCTTGCAGCAGAGTGAATCTCTCATGCACTAGATACAAAAGCTCTGACTTGCACATCCAATTTTTAGTTCATTAAATTTTCAAATATTTCAAGTTGCTCAAAACTACCCCAGCACCTCTGATTTTTTTAATCACTTCATCCAGTGATTGCTAAAAAGGGCAGATTCCCTCTGGCCCCTTCCTGTGTTTATATGACATGAACAGTCAAGACACAGAAGATAACACAATACTTGATTAGTGGTACTAAGAGCTAAACAGGACCCCAGGGTCATTTTACATATAAAGAAACATTTGTATATATAGAAAAATTTAGACAAATAGTTAAGTAAGATTGGCAAATAACATAATATTACAACATTTAAAACTAATGACATAATGTGTGTGCGTGTGTGTGTGTGTGTGTGTGTGTGTGTGTGTGTGTAAACCATCAAATCAGATCTGACTGGTATAGGAGACTGTCCTTCCTTCTCCAGCACAGCATCTTGTATATTAGAACCCTGCACCTCTGGGAATGCAGTACAGCTTCTTACCACTAGGCCACCAGAGTTCACCTGACATAATCTTTAATAACAAATTTGCTTGTAAATATGTGTTATATTTCAGATTTCTTTTTCTTACTAAGTTTATCTTTTTAGAAACTAGCCTGTTAATTTGCTTTTTTCAATTTCAGAAGGCTAATTTCTGTACAAATTAATCTCTACAGGATCAGGCAGGGTTTCATTCTTTGGTTTCTGGGCTCACTATGAGTCAGGGCCATCTCGACAGCACCTAACAACAATAATATCTCAACATATTTAAACTGTGGGCAAATCTCAGTTGCACAGAAATTAAGCAAAGAATGAAAAAGGATCAGATAAATGTCTTCTATTGTTGAAACTTTAGTCTTCCAGAAAAGTTTGCGTCTTTCCAGACAGCTCTTTAAAAGGAAAACTAAGGTTACAGAGAAAAGTAGTGAAAATATCTACAGGCACAACACTTGAGAATTGAAACCTTTTTCTTCACTTCCTCATCTAGGCTAATCTTCACCAACAGGATTACTAAAAGGCAAAAACAATCTACTATTTCACAAATAAGCACAATAGAGGCATTCAAGAGTATCTGAAGGAAAAGTCTGCCTGTGGGCAATTACGATCCTTCTTATAAATACTTAGGAAGACAAAGGCATAACATCACAAAATTGGGGAAAGCCCATTTAGGGAGTGTATTTGGACAATTTAGAAAAAAAATAGCCTTAAAAAATTGCCTGAATGCAGTAAAAATACTGCTCCTAAAATGTACCTACAATTGGAAAAAATATGATAAAATAGAATTTTGTTGCATTCTAAAATTCTGTATGTTCCAAGTTCCTTGGAAACTACAGATAAATTATCATTTTGATGTTAGAGGAATAAACTGAACTTCTTTGGAATGTCACTTCAAGGAAAAGAAACAACTGATTGTCACTGAGTTAGAACCAACTCATAGCTGACCCTTCAGGGGGTGTCTGAGGCTATAAAATGCAGAGGGAGAGACTGCCCATCTTACTCTGAGTCTCTGGTGGGTTCGAACCACTGGAGAGATGCAGCCTTTTGGTTAGCAGAACAACTCTCTATGAACGACACTGTAAAAGAAGTGCCTAAAATTACTAGAGTACAATTTCACTGACAGCATAAGAGGGGTAGTAATTTCTCTTCAGAAATCTGCTAGATCCCTTCTGAGATTTCATACAAGATCACCAAGAGAGATTAGAGTCATTACAAGAATTCAACACATCCTGTACCTCAGTAGACTTTTATAAGGAAAATTAGCCTCAGATTCTCACTGCTGATATGTATAAGTTTAGGCAGTTTTCATGAATAATCAGGAAAAAGATAAACCAAACCTGCTGCCATCATGTCAGGATCGGCACAGCAACCCTGTGTTGAAGAACTAAACAAAACTGCCTGCCAGTGTCTCCAAGGCTGAAATCCTTTTGGAAGCAGAATGCCATATCGTCCTCCCCTGGAATGGCCAGCAGATTCAGATACACATTTTGACTAGCAGCTGAACACTTAAAATATATACAGGAATATTAACTGAGATCTGCAACATGTGCTTTAACTTTTGCTGCCAAATTTTTAAAATATATTTTTCAAAGTAGAGAAAGAAATCAGAAAGATGTGACCCTCAAAAATCTACAGGCAAATAACCCTGTAAATAACAGCCAAAGGAACAGCCAGTATTTTTAAAGCTTATCAGATATACAGTGGTAAGAAAATACTCTGGTAATATATATACCATTTCAGGATGTCCAGAAGGCAAAGACATTGTGCTTGAAAACCAGATTCTTAGAGTGGAGTTTTACATTTTGAACATTTAGCTAGTGATACTTTTAACTCAATATCTTTGATGAAGAAATTTTTAGGAATATGCTTCTTGTTGATTTGTACATCTTTCTTATGTAGGAGATACAGCAGTGCGAGAAGTTTTTGAAGAGACAGGTATAAAATCAGAATTCAAGTCCCTCCTAAGCATTCGCCAGCTGCACGCCAGCCCAGGAGCTTTCGGCAAGTCAGACATGTACATCATCTGCCGTCTCAAGCCATATTCATTCACCATCAATTTTTGCAAACATGAATGCTTAAGATGTGAGTGGATGGATCTCAATGATCTAGTCCAGACTGACAACACAACTCCCATTACCAGCAGAGTTGCCCGGCTGCTACTATATGGATACAGAGAAGGATTTGACAAGATTGATCTGGCCATGGAACAATTCCCAGCAGTGTACACAGGCCTTTTCTATAAACTTTATCACAAGGAACTGCCACAGAATTACAAAACGATGTTAGGAATGCACTGAATTCACATTTGCACGTTTAAAAATTTTTACCTAAAATTTATATGTAGATTATAAGAAGAAATGAATGCTTTGAATAATTAAATATCTGGTTTTAATTTTCTAAAGTACCTTTTATGAAAGAAAATTTGCATAAATATGTATATTTTAAAATAAAGTAAATATGTTATAAGACTATATATCTAAGTAAGCGTCACAGGTAAAGGAAATGCTATATGGAAAAGGGAAAGTCTATACATTTTCCGAGAATTTTTGTTTTTCCTTATGTAGGCATTGGGCATTTTATTGACGAATTAAATGGGGTCCAATCAGTTATCCAACTGAGCAGATAACTATGCACATTTCTAAAATGTACCTCTTCTTTCACATGAAATAAATTCGACACTGCCGTTGTCATCAGCTCTTGGCAGACATTGGAAGGAAAAGTATAGCCTTCTGTCCAGGTCCTGTTTTGGGTCCAAGTTTATACTGCCCCGTTCGTTTCAGTGCCACATACCAACTGGTGTATTTTCTTGACCGGTATGTATTGTAGTTATTAGATTCCAGTCGTTCAAAAAAGAAACATTCATCTGTTACATATTTCTGAAAAAGAAAGGAATAATTAATTGTTACATTTACTATTACACTTCTCATCTAAAATGCTCATTACCCTCAACTAGTTTGAGCGGACTTTGGTTTATCAGGGTAGCCCAACTGAAAGCAGACCATAATTTATACCATACTAGCTCTTCAGAATACTAAATAGAAGCATGATATTCACAGAAGGAAAGTAGGAGTAGTCCAGGGAACATTTATTCTCCAGTTGCTACAAGAAACAGGTCAATTATTAAGGAGTGCTAGGAGAACAAACAGGTTTGTCCTGGAGAAGGTGAAGCCAGAATGCTCCTTGGAGTCAAGGATTCTGAAGCTTTGTCTGACATACTTCGGGCATGTTGCAAGGAGGGTCCTTGGAGAGGGACATCATGTTTGGCAGAGTGGAGGGGTGGTGAAGGAGAGGAAGACCTTTAATGAGATGGATCGATTCTATGACTGGAGCGGTGGGAATAAGTGCGTTTGAGATGGCTAGGTTGGCACAGGATAGAACAGCATTTAGAGCTCTTGTACATAGGGTCGCTATGAGTCGCAAACGACTCGATGGCACATAACAACAACAACATTAAGGAGTGAGAGAAGACAAAGGGCACAGGAGCAATATGGGGTCAGACTTGTAATAGTCCTTGAGTATGGCTTTAAAGGGACCCCTACAAAGAGTGGCCCACAAGGCACACTCACTCAGAAAAGCTTAAAGATAGGGCTTCTGGTTAGGTATTTATAGTCCATCCATACTCCTCTCATACCAAAGACATTACTAATCAGATCAATTTTACTTTTATCAGAGTTCTACTATAACAGTGCTAGAAAATTAATACTTGGTACTCTTCCTATGAAGAAGAGGAGGAGTTTGGTTATAAAGAATCCTTATACTCATGCAGAAGTAGAATTAACTTCCTAAATTATAACTAATTTTTCTAGTGACTAGAGTTTCTCAGGAATGAAAAAAGTAGCTTTAAATTATAGAAAACAGTTAATACACAAAGCCACAAGATGAAGAACTGACAGCTTTGAGGGCGTGTTTCATTGTGATGTTCACAGGGTCACATAAGCTGAGACTGTCTTGACAGCACCTAACACCATCACCATAAAAACCCAAATTATTAGAATATTAATTACACAGATAATGGAAATATAAGGAAAATAGAAGATACTGATTTCTATCAGACTTATAGGCAATAAATGACAGCCCTTTTATTTCAGTTAAACCTATAAGGAAGAAACTTGTGTTCAAATAGCTAGCCCTAAAATAAAATAAAAAAAAAATAGCTAGCCCTGAGAATACTAGTACAATTAATTTGATCCTAATAGGTTGTTACATTATTTAAGGTTCAAAACTTACTTTCTTAAGCCTCTGCTCCTTAGCAAAGATTGAGAGGTGGAAGGAAGAAAGATCAAAAAAGGAAAACCCTTTTTTTTTTCATATTACAACTATACACATAGATCAGTTGAATAACTTTATTTAAACCCCTCTAGAAAATTACATAAATGTATACACATTCATCTACTTATAAGGAAGCCTGGTGGTCAACTAGATATGTGCTGCTCTACTAACAAAAAGTCAGCAGTTCAAACTAGTAGCTTCTGGGGGGAAAAGAACTAGTGATTTGCTCTCATAACGATTACTGTTTAGGAAACTTTATGGTGCATTTCTGCTCTCTCACATAGAGTTTCTATGAATCGGAAAACGTTACAGCATGTGCATCAATGTACATATGTAAATAGAAGGTGTATACACAAATATAGTATGTAAACACATGATTTTTATATTAATAATTATACCAGATTCCAACTTATTTCTAAATACTCAAATCAGGGAACTTCAGGTTGGGAAAACCCATGTTTAAAATACTTGTACCTTTTCCCAGATTCTTTGATTCGAACATAAGCCAAAAAATGGCACAAACTAGCATTAACTAGGATTAATAGAAAAGCATTAGAAGGAGTGGCATCCACTTCCTAAACAACATGCCTCTGGAAACTCTACAAACTTTGATAAATGTCAATGCTTATAGAGGGGTTTCAGGCCTTTTGTTCACAGGGTCGCTATGAGTCGTGCTTAACTCGAAGACAATCAACAACAGCAATATGTAAAGCAATAAAAAGAGTTTGCACAATAACTAAAATAAAGAAAATTCTGACAAAGCCTTAACAGTGAACAGCCATCTAAAATCAAGCTGATGTAAGGCCTGAAACTTTCCATCTAGAGGTAAGAATTCTACTAGAAATTTAATTTACTTTAATATTTTGACCTGTTAATTAAATATTAAAGAAATAATACAAACATCTAGATTGCCCAATATGTTCATCGCCTTCGAGTTGAGCATAACTCACAGCGACCCTATGAACAAAATGCTTGAAGCCCCTCTACAACCACTGCCATTTATCAAAGTTAATAGAATTTCTGGAGCATGTTGTTTAGGAAGTGGATGCCCCAACTGGAAGCAGACAGAATTATGTTTCTTGTCTGACTCAAATAAATCATAGATAGTTTTACAGAAAAATATTTACAGGAACTTAGCTGTATTACACAGAAGGCTTCCTTATGATTTATGACAATTCAAATGTAATAACAATGAGACACTTAACGGAACTGACTCATAGCTGACCCTCCAGTGGGTTTTCAGAGACAGTACTTCACGTGGGAGGAGACTGCCCTTCTTTTTCCTGTGGAGCACTTGTAGATTTGAACCACATACTTTTGTATTTGCAGCACAATTCCTTGCCACTAGGCCACCAGAATTTCCTTAGGATAGCACAGATACTCCAAAAACAGTACTATATCTTTCATATGTTTCTATGTTAACTGAAATTAACCTTGTTTTATATTATTTGGTAATTTCCATGTCACTTAGAAACACCTCCTTTTTTATATTCCAGATATAGACAGAAAGAAATAGTAAAAAGTTAAGATGAAAAGTCATAGTGATCAAAAGGATAACATAAAAGGTCTACTAAACACCATTTAGGACAGTGACTTAATTTTCTGGGGTTCTGTCAGCTTTCAGAGTACCTTGGCTACCTGGTACTTTCCACAATGCTTGTCCTAATATAGCTCTTAACCATGCCAGTAATGTTCCCTCTTTCAGCCAATTCCTAACATTTCAGAAAAATTAAATAGTACCAAGGACTAAGTGGATGCATCCTGGAACCCACAATATTTTTCTTTTCTTTTTCCAGTGGTTACATGTACCTTTAGAAAGCATGGGGGAGGAAAGAAAAATTTGGCATTTGTGCTAAATGTTCAGCCATGAAACTTTACTACTTGTCTTGCACTTAAAAACAAACTACATTATTTGTTTAAAATAAGTAGTTGGACCATAATTCAGTTCTGGATAAAATCAGATATTTAAAAGCTTAATGTAATTACAACATTGAATTTTCTCTGTACTAAGTTTACAAATTGTTCTTAGTATGATCCTACTCTTTATATTCAAATTGATGCAATAGAATGTTTATACACATATTTACATAGGGCTTTTTCCCTATTCTTAACGCGTATCTACTCACCATCCCAAACAGAACATACATACATACATACATACATACATACATACATACATACATACATACATACATACACACACACACACACACACAAACCAACCCGTCAAAAGAGAAACAACATTAAACGGGGCACAAATAACTGACCTCTACAGAGTTCCTACATGTGCATGTGGTTCGAACTCATAGCTGCTAACTGAAAGGTTGGGGTTCAAGTTTATCCAGAAGCAACTGAGAAGAAAAGCCTCCTGATCTACTTTCAAAACATCAGCCCCTGGACATCGCACGGAGCACAGTGCTGCTGTGACACACTGAGCTCAACTGGAATTCAAACTGACTTAACAATTTTTAGATTTTTTTTAACAACTTAAGACAACTTGTTCCTTCTTTCAAGACCTCATTTTACCTTAGCCTATGAACTGAAAAACAACTTCTTACTTCTCAATTATTATTTGTTTTCATACACATTATCCCATTCAAATATCAAAATAATCCATGACATAATTGTCATTATGCTCATTAACAAAAATTAAATTTCGGGGCACTTGATAACTTACTGTTTGAGATTGTGGACATTCTTAACTCATGCATCTATCAGAGACACTACCAAATTGACTTGTTATTTTCTTGACTTTTTTTTTTAAATGAACAGTTTTGGAATCCAGAAGAACAGATTCCAAATAATGAATGCATTTCTTCAGGCTGTGCATTTTTTTCCTTTCCATTACCTGGGATATATCAGTGAACACTCAGATTTGTGACAAGCAAATTCTAACTGGGAGAGTCACACAAAAAACTGTAAGAATATGGAATAATAATATTATATACATCAAAATATTATAAATGCTATGAAGTAAGAAAAGCTGAGCAATGTAGGGAAAAGATTAGATTGTGTGGTTCAATGAATTAAGTAACAGGTCCCTTCTATCAGAGCCTTTTGTTTTACAATTCTGTATTCTTTGTCTAAATTTATGACTTCACTGCAAGCAAGTTATTTATAGACATTTTTACACTGTTGTTGTTGGCATCCACTTCCTAAACAACATGCCTCCAAAAACTCTGTGAACTTTGATAAATGTTGAGAGTTGTAGACGGGCTTCAGGCCTTTTGTTCATAGGGTTGCTATGGGTCGTGCTTGATTTGAAGGCAATCAACAACATAAAGGAGGTAGAATTAAGGTGACATATGTCATGAAGCCCCACCCTTATAGAAGGTTATTATCCAAGTTGCCACCCCTGGTTCTTCTGTAAGTGTGGTTTATAGCCCCGAATGAGATCCTGCATGCTTCTGGGAAGCTCAATCCTTGTTCACTTGGGATATATTGTATCTAACCTAACAGCTGACAACCAAAAGCCTTAGACTACAGACAGAAGACCTATCAGCAGCCTCTTTGATCATCTACTGCCTTGTGAGTGATTTCCCTGATGTTTTCTTTAGCTTCTATGAAACGTTCCATCAGATAACTGAACTCAAAGGTACAAATGGGA